ACTGTCAAAATTCACATCTACCTAGAAAAGAGAAAGAGTTGATATATTGCAGATATTCTTAAATTATTCAGTCAAAAAACAAATTCTAAAAATGTTTAATGTTTTCATTACTGCATACTGTGTGTGGGTGGGGGGGGAGGTGAAACTAAGAAAAAAATTAGTAGGAGTATGCAGTCCAGATTTGGTTTTTAAAAAAATCACCTGCATAGCATCTCCCAATGTGACTGATTTGAAAAAAATTCCACTCTCAACAGCAGGTTTGTTTAAAAAGATTTGTCTCATTACTTTTCAATAACACCTTGTTCAAGGTAAAAGGGATCTGAGAGGCCATTTACTCTCATCTTCCTTCAAATGAAAAAATCCCTTTTACAGCATTCTTGGCAAAACGATGCTCTGTAGTTTGTTCATCATTTAAAACTCATATTTAGAATGAAACATAAACTAAATGTGGTTTTGGCCTATATGAAGTGGGACCACTGCACTCTAGATCCAGACACCCAATGCAGCACAAGGTCAGACAGGGCAAAGTTAGTGGGGGCTCACAGGCTTTGTCGTGTGACATAACAGCTAAGCCTTATCTCCCCTCACCTATACCTACGCAGGTGATTTTTTTAAACCCAAATCTGGATTATATATTCTTTCCTAATTTTTTTTTCTTAGTTTCAGTCCATCGTTCTACACAGTGAAGTCTTAAGAATCCTGACCTTGTCTTTCCAACGTATCAGTTAAATATCCATGTCTTTCTCAAGATCACTGGCACAGCAAAGACCTTCAAAATATGAAGAATACCAGGAGGAAAAACTGGAGGCAGCAAGTATAGACAACACTTTTGAGAAGCTCCGCCATAAAGAGAAGCTGAGAAATGGAGTGGCAGCAGGTTGGAGATTTGAGGGGAGGAGTGTTAAGTAGGTTTTTTTTTTGTTCTTTTTTAATGGTAGAAATATTTATATGCTAATAAAATTATCCAAAAATGAAAGGAAAATATGGCCTCTGAAAATACTTTCTAAACTGTAAAGTTCAAAATAAATATAATTTATATATATCTCCTTTTTCTTCTTGCCTGGTTATTTCCATTTACATCAAAATTCAGTTTTTAGTGCCTCTAGCTCCTTGTGAATTCTTTCCTTTCAGAGTCTCTCTGCTCCCCAGATCATAGCTACTTTTTCTCCAAATATTTAAAAATCTCTAACTATGCCCAGTAGTCCCCTGCCTTTGCCATACCTGACGCTTTTTCACCCAAGGTCTTGTTTTCAACACACTGATAATTCTTCACTATTTGTCAAAATATTAAAAGCCAATTTCAGGTTTAACAGATTTATACATATATATTATACATATAAACCTAAGCCTAGTTTTTTTTTTTTTTTTTTTAATTTTATTGGATCCTGACAGTCAGCAAGATGGCAAAAAAGTGTTCTCATGTGGTAAAACTGTTCTCTAAGGCTGTAACAATCCTGAAAACTTCTATGCAAGGCAAAAAGGGGCTGACTGGACCAAATTCTTCCCACCAGCACATCTGCAAACATAATTACATCATCTATACAGGGCCTTCTCCTCTCCCAACCCCCACTTCAGACTCAAACAAAAACTTAGTGTGAGCACACATAAAGCACATTTACCATGTCTGCACCACAGGAAACACTAGCTAGTCTGCAAGGCAAAGTTGTTAAACATTTTGTTTCTAGTTCTAAGCATACCTCTGATTAAGTTTGAGTAAATTAGTGCTAAGAAAGCAACTGTGAGCTGAGCATAAATACAAGACATGCTCCTTCAAAACCCCATTTCTAAAAATTATCAGCAAAAATAAAAAACAAATGAATCTCCACTCAACAATGCATTCCACTTAATGACAAAGTATATGTTTTCAAAGCATAACACTTATTTACGATGTATATTTATACTTTATATAACATACTATATCAAATTTAACAGTCTCCAAAATGTACTTTCTAAATACCAAAGCGCCTAAGGAAAAAATGGCCATATGTGCTTTCAAAAGCACAGGACGATTAAACCTTACTCAATAAATTCATATATGCTTAACCAATAGGGGCAATGCAAAATAAGAAAGTTTCCACTTTCACAAGTAAGTCATATATTTAAAATGAGCCCTCACCTTAAGTTCATTTCTACCCAATTCTTACCCTTAAAATGAGTTTTCATTAATTTCACATCTATTGACCACACCTTTTTTTGAGTCAGGAGTTCCGTCTCATAACTTTCTTTTTTTGTAATTTGAACATCACTTAGCTTAGCGTCAACAACACAGAGTAAGTCCTCAAAAAACATGAAGAATTCTCTTCAACTTAAAATTATAAAAGCATAAAAATCATAACTGGAATGTAGTATTTTTTCTTAAAATATAAAATTTTTAAACTCACTAAACCAAGAATATTATAATGTAAAACACCCAGATTTCCTTAAACATGGACAATTTAAAGAAATTTCTACACCATTCTTGTTTTGAAAATACGTTCCTAAATTCCTGCTGCAAATTCAGGAAAAAAGGTCTTGAATTTCACATAAAAATTTACACAGAACGATTTACAATATACAATTAAGCCTATAAGACCCCCACTAGAACGCAAGCCCCACGAAGACAGAAATTTTTACCTGTTTTGTTCACTATTGTTGCCCTCTCTTCCCCCCAGTGCCTTGAATGGTGCTTGGCACACAGTAGGATTTCAATCAGTACTGCTAGAATGAGTGAATAGATATGTGAGGACCCCTTAGTAAAAGCCAGACTCAAACCACCTGTAGGCTCCCACCACCAACACCATGAGAAAACCTAGAGCAATCCATGTCGTACAGATAAAAATAGTTTTAGAGAATGGAGTACCTAGGTGTTGCAAATGGTTAACGCACTCCCGGCTGCTAACCAAAAGGTTGGCGGTTTGAGTTCACCCAGAGGTGCCTCAGAAGAAAGGTTTGGTGGTTTACTTCCAAAAAATCAGCCACTGAAAACCCCAGGGAGCACAGTTGTACTCTGACACGCAAGGGGTCGATATGAGTCAGAATCAACTCAATGGGAACTGGTTTTAGAGCACCAAGTAAAAGAAATGGAGAGAAGCTAAAGGAAACTGACCTCAGACTCAGCCTTCACACATACTGCCCTAATTTGTTCATTTTGTTGCAGCCACCAATTTAGAGACTCATTTAGGTTAGCAAAGTCTCTTCATTTAAGAATGCAGAACTACTTAAATCTCTCAAAAACCTTACAAGGAAAATACGCCATCGTTCCATTTTATAAACAAGAAAACTGAGGCTAAGCAGCCAAGTTACTCTCCCAGTGTCACAGAGTATACATACAGCACAGGTAGACTCAGAATCTTTAATTCTACAATGTTACTTCCCCAGTTGAAAGGGACTAATTTTCACCCACACATCGGTACACATTAGTTCCTAATATCCTTATCAAAAGATGGGGCTTTTGTTTGGTGTGACAGGCAAGCAAACAAGTCTTTTTAGCACAAAGAACACTTTGGAGGCAAGAACCTAAAGTGAGGGCCATGGATTTGGGGTGCCTGAAGGAAGCAAGCTCCAAAGACAAACCACAGATTTCAAAACACTGAACAGGGCCAGCTCTTGCTCCAGAACAGCTTGCCTCTCTTCCTCTTCCTACCCTTCCACGTGACCCTCACGTTTCTCCACACCAGAAAATAGGCTGCCATTGTTAGTGCCATAGCTTGGCAACATTATGTGTCCCAACCACTGTGACTGGCACAGAGCAGGCACGAAAATATTTACTGAATGAACGAAATACAGAGTTGTTTCTGCGGGCAAGCTGTGACCCTAACTGCCACTTTTAACAAAATGGAGATGAGAAGTACACCTTAAGCACCTGATTACTGGTGTAAAAATGAACTTTTAAAAGGCTGGCCTAAGTTGGGGATGGGCTACAGTGTAAGCTTCATGTGCTTCATTTTCTTCAGCCAGATTGCCTCCAAGAAAAAAATAGTTTGCCACTTTAGCATACAAATACAGATCTCAGGAGCATGTTTTCATATTTTAGAGTGTAAAAACACCATTACCTTATTTAGGTTGCCCAGTTTAGGTTATCTTAACAAGAATAGCAGGTTTTAAAAAAAATCCTCTCTCAGCCTTCTCAGAGTGAGAGTGGGGGTGGAAAAGACAGCAGACATTCTCCAAAAAGTTCACAGTGTGCCACGAACAAAAATACATACTTCACGATGCGGAAAAAGTTTCCTTAACAACATGACCAATAATTTATCCAAATATATATATTTTACGCTAAACAACTAAGTGAACAGAGACCATGCCTATAGGGAAGGCATCAGGGTAAGCCAAATGGCTTCAAAGTCAATTACTGAAAAATGTACCTATTTCTCCCTTGGTTGGCACCCGTGACCTAAGGACTTGGCTACTAGCTCCAATTGGTATCAGATTCTTCACAATGTGAGATTTTCTGGATCATGTTACAGTAAAACTACTGGGGCAGAACTAGAGCAAAAGCAACAGGGAAGATGCCCATTTTCCTCCTCCACCCCTCCTCCCATTTGCCACTTAAGAAAAACGGCACGTTTTTACGTTCGAAAAGGCCTCATCCTTGCAGATTCAATGCAGTGTTAAATCTGTGATTTCGGGAACAAACCTGCTGATTCCAAAACACAGGTTAAGATCTCATCTACCATGAATTAGTTTTGCGCTTTCCCACTACCTTCTTTGTCTGAGCTGTCCCTGAAACGCGCAGTTCAATGCCCTCCTGTAAACAACCTGCCTAAACGAAAAAAACAATGTTCTAAGTCTTTAAAACAAGGGACAAAACCCAGTAACGCTTCTGGAGCCTTACTCCCAACTGTGAGCAGGCCGGGATCTACCCCGAGGAAACCTCGACCCGGGGACCACCAGCCGGGTGGCGCGGAGCTGGAGTGCCTGGGCTCGGGCGGCGAGACCCCCCCAGACGGCGCTGCCACCCCCGCGCGCCAGGCGCCCGTGTGCGCGGGGACTCCTACCCGCCGCCGCTCCCGGCGGACACTCACCTCCGTGAATGGGCAGCGGCGCCAGCACCTGGCCGCGGACCTCGGCCTTCGGTGAGTCGAGCCCGTAGCGCCCGCGGTCGATGCGGAACGTGAGCGGGGCGCCGCGGCCGGGTTCCTGCACCGTCACGTTGATGAGCGCCGTGTAGTACTCCTGGCTTGCGTTGTCAGCCCGAGCTGGCCACAGGCTGCATGTCAGTAGCACAAGCGCAGCGAACCGGGCCGGGCCCGCCCGCGCCGCGCCAG